GCACCTTAATAGAGGCAGAGTAGTTTGGTTATATTTGCTATGAGTTGTATGTGTGGTTTGGACACCATGCTGAAGGTGTATTCACGCAGTGCTGCTTGACATCTTGCCCCTGGATGGGCTGTAGAAGTCTTCATGGAAAAATTTTTTGGAAAATATTTGAATGAAAAACTCAAGTCATCTAGGGCAAGGCAATGTTGCATTCTAAAAAAGGGAGGTATAATCAGCTTCCTCAGGTGTGAGACCTTGTGTCTTTTTTTTTGCCTTTTGAACTCCATAGTTTTTACATACAGCATTTAGTGCAGCACTGAAAAAATGACAGAAAAACCTAATGATTAAAGAACATTGCTTTTCAGCAAGGCTACCATCCTCTAGGCAGACAATTTAGGTTTCTACTTGGCGTTTTTGCTATTTGGGAAATCTCCTCAAAGCAGGGAGTTAAGCAATCATTGCTCAGCCATCCATTTTAATTTTATTTCTCAGTCCACATCTGTAGCAGGTTATTCAAAGAGAAATAATATAATATGTTTTAAGGATGTAACTTTCCATTCAGTGGTCAATAGAAAACTAAGTGATAAAATCAATCTAATCATCAATTTATGCATTAAGTGCTACCAGTGGCACTTTCAATAGTTGCTGAAGCAAAGGAATGAATGGATTATAGGGATTAAACTTCCTTCATATGCCTAGAGGGAAACAAGTAATGAAAATGGAAGGCTTATTTGGTATGAGACAGCACAAAAGACTTGGAAGACAAAAAAATAAATATGTATTATTTCTAAATTGTTTCTTGCACATTTTTTCTGTAATGTGGGATTTGAGCTACGGATTCAATCTTGAGGCTTACAGGGCAGAAGTGAGACCATGAAAGTGATTCTATGAGTATGGAATGAAACATGACTGGTTGTTATCTAACCCACATTCCTGAAAAATATTTCTCTCTTCCATCATGACTCTGATTCTTTAACGAAAATAATTCCTGTACATAGCAGATTCTTCAGGTTCTTTCTCTTGTTCTTTTCTCGACCTTTTTGAGCTGGAAGAAAGTCATGGACTTTCCCATTGAAATGGTGGGAACACAGTGTTAGGTCTTCAGCAAAGTAGGATTTTCTGACCTGCTTTGCCTGTGTCATCCTCCAAGGCTTTCCACTGCAAAAAGAGGCACTTCCGCTAGTGTCACCAATTTCTCGTTCTCTTGTGCTGCATTGTCTCTTGAAATAGTACTGATTGGAGGAGAAAATTCATGGAAGTGAGAAGCATTTATGAGACAAGGTTGATAATGATATTTGTGTGATTCAATAACAAAAGCAAAACAGCTAGTATTTTAATATTAAACAAAAATTAGATGTACTGAGTAGGGAGAGTCCATTCTTTGGCTGGTTCTATGTAAACAAGTCTGGGCAGAATATGTACATATGTATACTCATAAATGTATATATACCTATAAACCTGATTTGCTGTGCATGCTGGCTAATGAGCAAAAGTAATAGAGGATCAATATATAGAAGAACTGGAAACTTAAGACGCTGAACAAAATCAAAGTATGCTCGAGCTTGAATTGGTAGCAGTAGACTGGGAAAGGGATGGTTCAAGGCAGCCTGCAGCAGCATTTTTTGGGTTGGGGTTTTTTATTTTTGATGTTATTTTGTTTTTAATTATTATTTGTAGGAATGCTTTGGAGCCAGGTCATTGCTGCTGTAAATCTTCAGATTTCCATTGATGTCTCCAGAGGGATAGTGTTTTACACCCCCTGAATAGATGGTGTTCTTGGTGGAAACATTATTGTGGTGTCTTTGGTCTTACATTGTTTTTAAACAAGGGTGGTTTTGAAATGCTAACTTTAATGGTTAAAACTAATGGTAGGACTCTTTAGGAAATCTAAAAGCTGGGCATTTTAAAGAAGTATGGAGAATTCGAAGAAAAACATACGGACGCATAATTGGGTGTTAAAGATAAATAGGAAACAGGTTGGGTTTTTTTTGCTATCAACTTCTGCCACTGGTGGGGTCCTAACTGAACTTTCTACCATCCTATTTCCTCTAGAAGTGATACACTGCGCTTAACAGGCATTCTTCAAAACTTAATTCATGTTTGTGAAATACTGGGAGTGGCCAAGACAAAGTCTTCTACAAGTACCAGGTGCACCAGAACTGTCTGGCAAGTGGATCTTTAATGAGAGACTTGAGGATGATGGATTTTTTTAAAAAGGATATGATGATGGAAGAGGTAAATTGTTATGTGAAAGAGAGGAAATGTCACATGATTTCTGTCTCTTGGGTATGTACCAGCTTGTGCTAGGTAGTCTCTTTCAGAGATGTGGTGGAGCAGAGTGGAGGGAGAGCTATAGACACAATCAATACGCTCCACAAAAGGATGCTGTGAAAGAGGGTTGAGTGTATATAATACAGTGCAGTGGATGAATAATGGGTTATAGATGAGGAGACAGAGGTTTATTAACAAATGTAGTCTATCATCTGCATCTGAAAGTGATTGCGTGATGCAAGGTGAGACTGAGTGTTGGCAATGGTGTGAGGGACATGCATTCCTGAACTTTGTTCATTTTATGTGGACAAGTATCTGTATCACTTATCTACAGTTACGAAACTAGGTACAAGAGACATCAAGGATTAAACAATGAGCACACAGTATTTCATTTCTACAGATGATATTTTCAGCTCAAAATCAATATATTTCAGTGGGCTGTAGGATTGAAGATGGTTAATCTTCTGTTGCCATGGCCATATTACGTCTCTCCAGTAAACACATGCTGCACTTGGATTTGCAGCATGCACAACTGTTAGAATTTTTTTTCAGTAGTACTTGATTTCCAGTGTTGCTGGTGATTAAAAAAAAAAAACAACCACTTTATATGCATGTCCTACTCAAGACTTTCCTTAGTTTGCATGATGAGAGGATCTGGAGCTCCCCATTGTAATCACTTCTGAAAACTCTAAATGGGGAATGGCAATAAAAAGAGCAATTTTGAGATTTTACAGGAGACTCACCTGTTAATCCACAGTAGGTAAAAGTGAAAAAACCCTGTACAAAGTACTAGAAGTTTATAGTGCCATTTGTCTTGTTTTCTGTTTGTAAGGGAAGCTGAACAGACCTTCTCATAAAGAGCTGTGTACATCTGCTTGACATGCTAAATTTACAATCTATAGACTCAACTAGTTAATATGCCAACTACTGTCTGGCTTTAGGTTCTGTTTATCTTCCATTGCTACATTTGTCTGGAGTGTTTTGTTGTTGAGAAATTTTGGACTTTATTCCCTAAAGCAGAAGGACAGGTTGCTGACGCCAAAATTTATTTAAGAAACAAGGAGTGTATAGCTGCTACACAGTGTAATAACCTAAAATGCCTGAATGGCTCAATTTCAAAGCTAAGACTTGTGTTTCAAAGCTGGCTTGTGTTTGCAGGTCCCTGTCCTTCTCCCATAAACTACAGTCAAAAGTGTGCAACTGCAGGATGAGTGACACACCAATCAAAATCTGTGCCTACTTGCTTATTTATTATGGCACTTTATGTTACCAGTTCCCTCCCTTTCTCTCAACCAACTGCTCTCTGGCTCATTTTCTCCTGTAAGCTCTGCAGAGCAGGGACAATCAGCTCTTCTGTGGTTGTTCAGTGCCTGGTGCCCCTTCTCACAAGTGCTGAGGTGCCCTGTGTAGCCCCCAGACTTGGGCTGCTGCTGGCAAGGCCCAAGTCTGAAACATGGATCCCCAAGCACCTGCTTGGAGGGAAGAGGCTTACATAAATACCTGTTTTCAGAGTTGCCCAAATACATGGCTTTAACATATGTTTAAGATTTATGCACAAGATGGCACTGAGAATGTCTGCCCCAGCCCCTCCAGTCCCACTGGCTTTCCCTCACATCATTGCAGATGATGGAAAACCAGTTATTAGGAAAATTTTTTTTACTGAGGGTGGTGGGGCAGTGGAATGGGTTGCCCAGATGTAGTGGTGGATGCCCCATCCCTGTGAGTTTTCAAGGGCAGGTTGGATGGGGCTCTGAGCCACCTGGTCTGGTAAAAGGTGTCCATGCCTACAGCAGGGAGGGTTGGAACTAGATGATCTTTAAGGTCCCTTCCAACCCAAACCATTCTGTAGTTCTATGATAAGATGATTGATTCTATGATTCTGTGTGCTATGCAAGAACTTCAACAAGATCACCTCACCCAGCACACATCTGTACCATGCTGTTAAAACACTTTGCTGCCCTTTCAGGCAGAAGAGGGAAAACTGAGTTCCTGGGTGAGTGCTAAATAGCATGCAGATTTGGCGGGGTACGATGACCCCTGCAAGGAGATGGAGTGGGTGCCTAAGGAAAGGCTGAGGGTTGAGAATTCCACACAAGGTATCTTGCCTCACCCCAGCGTTAGGATCAACTCAGCAGTGGACAAGGTGTCTTGAGAGATTTGTTGACATGTATAACTGGTTCCTGTAGACATCTTCATTTAACAGGATGGATAATGAAGATTATGTTCTTAGGTATTCTACTTTTTGCCTTCAGTGTGCACTGGGGCAGGGTGTCGTGAGGCTGTGGATTTAGGCAAAGACATGCTGCAGTGCTCAGCACCGCAAGAGCCAGGCCCTTTTTTGAATCTGGCCTCACCTCAGTAAGTGTGAGTAATGATAACAGAGGCATGAGAGCAGAATGACTGTACAGAAGGGAGAGCTGCTCTTGACTTGCTAGACTGAAAAACATATTTGTAAAGGGATAAAATTAGTGTTGGGTACAAGAATGCCATTTAATGAAACAAATGACTACATTTCTTCTCAGTGGCACGAAAAACACGTGACATATCCCAGATAACCAGCAGTCCCCCATTCTGCTCTAAGAGTTGCTGCAGAGCTTTGTCTCCTTTTGATATATTCCTCTCTGTAGTTCTACATCCTTATTTTTTGTTCATTATTGTTGCATTTTTTACTCATGCATGTCTTTACTCCTTTAGCTTTCCTGAATACTTCTCTTCTGTCTCTCTTGTGATCTGCCATACAGCTTGGCCACCTTCCATGTGATGGAGCAATGTAGCCGACTTGTGGGTTGACTTAGGCTTGCATCACCATCCTGACCCGGGTTGCATCAGCAGTCATCTGGAACTGACTACACCCCTGAACTGATAAAAGATGCTGTGGAAATATGGATCTCTGGGGCCTTTGCAAGGTATCTTCATATATATGCGTGTATGCATGTTGATGTGTGAGTACATTCAAAATGCCTATCTGTTCTATCAGCTCAGCTGACTGAGTGCTCCTTTGGGATTTGCTGCTGCTTAAGGCAAATGGGAACAGACCTGCAAAGCTCAGGGGAATACTGGGATTGACCCTGAGAAGGGGGATATGCCTGTTGCCTAGGAATACCCATAAGCAAGAGATCCAAAACCCCTCACTTGACCTTTGTATAGTTCTTTCCCTTCCAGTGAGTCCCTTTCCCTGCCTGTGACTCATCTTCTTCTAAATGTAGACTGTAAGCTTCTCAGAGGACTGCCTTTCTCTCTGAACAGAGTAGCATAAAAAATAGCAACACTGTTGAATAACTAGTATTATTTTTTAACACAAAAAACCTAAGGGCTGCCTTGCTGTATCTGTGCTTCTCTGTCAACGGATTTATCAGTTCCCTCGACAGAACAGCGGGGCAGGTTCTGTCCTGACCCACGACAAGAAGGTTGTTCAGAGAAGAGGTCTCAGGAGCAGCACAGCTGCAGTGCAGTGGGGAGTAGACGTTATAATAAAAGATGGGCAGGCTCTGACAAAGGCCAACACATCTTCCATGGCACCCATGTACTTACTTCCCTATTTCTGACTGATTTGTAATTGGCAGCATCCCCTTAGTAACTGCAGTGTGGCTTATGTGAACGTCCAGTAGGAAGCTGCCTGCTCCCTTCAGCAGGTTATTCAACACCCATCTCCTTTTCTCCAGCCTCTACATACACTGTCCAGCTGCCCAGTCCACTTCCGTTCTCAACTCTTGGTGACACTGCAGCTCTTGTGTTGTCTTCAACTTGTCGTAGATCTCTTACTCTGGGCAAACTGGTACCTTTTCTCTTTTCAGATGCTTGTGCCATATCCTGTCTCTTTGTTGCCTGGTCCTCTGGAGGACAAAAGAGTGAGAATCAGCAGTGTCTCACTTATCCTGCAAACAGTTTGAGAACTGCTTTGACAGCCAGTGGAAGAAAATAGTGTGATGTGGTCACAGCAAGCACGTGTTCTTTCTAACAATTTACAATTGCACTATGATCCCATTGAGAGTGATACTCAAACCTCCCTCTGATTACCTGTTCTTTTCTCTTGCTGTAACAACATTGTTTCTTTCCAACACAGGAGTGTTTATGCAGAAATGCCAAGATTCTTTACACAGATTACAGTAGGTTTACAAATTAAGGAAAAACTAGTATGGAACAAGAGGAAAATAATCCTAGCATTTTGCACTTACTTGTAATCAAAATCCTGTCTTTGGAGGGTGTTAAGTCAAATATACACTTGGTGAGGCCTATGAGGATTTTCCCTGTGTAAGGGCAAGAGTTAGCCCTAGCATATCACACTATTCTAAAAATGGTGTCCAGTAAGCAATAGGTGGCCACTCTTGGAAAAAAATCAGGGAGAAATTGGTGAAACCTGGATCCTCTGCAGTGTCACTTTCACAGTTGAGTGACTGACAAACAAAAGCAAAGAAAAAGACCCAGTGGGCTAAATCACCATGAGGTTGGATTCCCCCTGTTGTGGAATTGAACAAAATCCAGCAATGTTCCCTTCTATTAGGTCTGATGTAAATGCTGTATGGTAAAGACTAATTTCTAAAAGTCAGCTGTAAACCTATAGGTCAGCCAATAAGACAGAGACTTGACACATTTTTCATTGTGAAGTGTATGATAGTTTCAAGCCTTTAGTCAATGTCACTGCAGACAGTATATTGTTGAATCCAATGGAATTGGAATCCTGCTATGAATTTAATTGTTTTCCACAAGTAGAACAGAAGCCTTTGATTTCTATTAATTATGTATCTACGTGAAAAGCTATTTTGTGTGTATATATATTTAACAACAGGAAATGTAACACATATTTATTTTTATTAAACTAATAAAAGGGATAAACCTATCAAAGCATGTTTTCATTTAATTTCTTTGGACTTGTTTCCCTTAGCATGAAACATGAAAGGTCATTAAGTTCAACCTCATATATCTCAGGACACACAGGTCTTTCTATGAGATAATTGACATCATACAAAAGCATCTTGTTTCTAAATGAGAACTTTGAGGTTGCAATAGTCCTTGTAACTGCAATCAACCATGGTTGGGTTGAGGCCTCAAGGTGCAACACTCGAGGTACTACTTACCTGTTGCAACTAGGGTGGCACCTTGCATGAGATCTTTCCAAACTCTTGCAAATGTAATCCCTGCATTGAGAAGCTCATGCTTTATGAACAATGAGCAGCAAAAGGTTAGGAAACATGGAATAGGACAAGGAGAGAGAAATTGTAGAGCTCTTGTAAATCCATTCAGTTCATAGTAAGCAGTCTGCAGGAGTGGGATCTCTAAAGGGTAGCCAGATCTGTAGCATGTTGGTTCTCCACCTCCTGGAGGAGAACACGGTGTGTGGAAAGTCATGCAAAGGAGAGAGTGAGGGGAACTGGCACATGGCTGCAGCCTGGCAGCAGTGCTTTAGCAGAGGCAAGGGTGGCATGGGAAGATGGAAGTTCCTGAAAACTGTCTGGTGGCAAAGCTATGTGTAGATACTCATGAACACAGGTGTCACCAGCTTGAGTGGCTCTGGCAGCAGCTGGAGAAACAGCAAGAGGAAGAGAGCAACGTAATAAAATTGATGGATGAGGAAGATGAACTCTATGTTTGTTTTGGATTCAGGTGGGATTTTTGGTGGGGTATCTGGGAAGGCCAAATTGGGCTCTCCTAGGTGTCAGAGCAGCGTGGTAAGAGGATGAAGTCTGAGGCAGAGTGGTGCTTTGGTATTGCTTGGAGATCTTCAGCAGTAGTGGCTGGATTTGGGTATGACCTGTTTGCCAGTGCAGGGGAGAAAGGAAAGGCAACATCAAAACTGCCCCCTATTCTACCTGTTGTCAATCTCTCAGATGTATGCTCCAAAAAACCTCATCTAGAGAATGTTTCTTACTGCTTGAAATTAAGTCATTGTCAAAGAAATGGTATGAAAGGTTTGTTTTCTAGAAAAAGATTTTGACACTGAGAGTTGCAGGAGGCTCTCTTTAAAAACAGTGGTTCCCTCCACCTCCACGGGACTTCTCTTGCATTTCGGTTGACCCGCACATTGCACCAAGACGCCACTGATTTTTCTTCTTCCTCAGCCACTCCCGCCCTCCAGCCTGTTCAGGCACTACATCTCAACCATGAGCTATTTCAGGACTTCAGCCTCCCAGACCTCCCCTGTCCCACCTCCTTCCCATCTCAGGCTCCCTCCAGGAAGGGCGGGATAAGCCCAGGGGCCGTACGCGCTGTACGGGTGGCACAGCCCCAGCGGGTGGCTGGACTGGGGCAGAAGGCAGCGCAGGTTCGTGCTCTTCTCTGCCACCATGGAAAGGGCGAGGGAGAGTGTGCATGTGCGTGTGTGTGTGTCATTTCAGAGGTGTCTCCTACACTTCCCCCGAGTCCAGGCGTTCCAGACCCATCGCGCGTGGGGCTGTGGGAGCGAAGTCGTGTCAAACGGGCAGGTGAAGGACGGCGGGGAAGAGCAAGTCCAGGCGTAGTGCAGCAAGTGAGGAAATATGTCAGGAGGCCTCCGCTGCCCCCGGATCTCGCCGGGGGAGGCAGATCGAGGCCGGTCAGAGGGAGAGCGCTGCCAGCCCCGCGTCGCGTGGGCAGCCGTGGCGCCCGGGCTGTGGTGCCCAGCCGCGCTTTCCCCCGTGCCATGTTCCCCGTGCCCCCCCGGCCGTGCCGTGTCGATTCCATCGCGGGGCCGCTCCGGGGGCGAGCGCAGTGCGCGGCGGGGGGAGGGGAACCCAGGGACACATTCGGGTGCCGGGCGGAGCCTGAGCATTTTATGAATGGGCTCATATGACGTCATGAGGGCGGGAAGAGAGGACCCGTCCTCCACCAATCCTGCGAGGCCTCCGCGCTGCGGGGCCAATCGAAGCGCGATCTCCGGGTGACGGCCATCCTCGCCGGCCAATGGAGGCAGGAGAGCGGTGGCGACCACGTGGGGCGCAGGCCGCAAGTAGTACGGGGGCGTGTGGCCGGGCGGCCTCGGGGCGGGCGGGCCCGGCCGCGTTGCCGGGTTACCCGGTGCCTGAGCGGCCCCTCCGCCAATCGCGGCGGGGCGGGGGCGGGCGCCGTGACGGCTGCGGGGCGGCGGTGGCCGGGAGGGCTCAGTCCGGCCGCGGCAGCCTCCGCAGCATGGTTGTTCCCGCCGCGCTCCCGGCCGCCGGCCTCCTCTACTGGGTGGGCGCGTTGGGCGCTCTGTACGCGGCGGCGCTGGCCTCGTACCGCCTTCTGGCCGGCCTCCGCGTCTGGGTGCTGGGCAGCGGCGCTGCCGCCGTGGGGCCGGCCCTGGGCGCCTGGGCAGGTGAGTGCGCGTCCCGGCCGCCCCCGCCGCGGCTCCTTCCCCTCCGTCCCCCCGGGCCGGGGCAGAGCCCCGCGGGGCAGCGCGGCGGCGGCCTCGGCCCGGCGGGGAGGGGGCGCGGGGCGCTTCTCCTGGTGAGCGCGGGTGGCGGGCACCGGCCTCGAGGGAAGCGGCGGAGCGCCCGGGGGGCGGCAGCGGGTCCCGGGGCGGGCCGGTCTGGGGCAGCAGCCGAGGGGCCAGCGGGTACCGCCGCCCGGCCGGGCGCGCTGCCGCGGAGCCGGTCTCAGGCTCCCCGCGAAATCTGCGGGTGCTGAGAGAAGCTCCAGTTGTTGGGATTTTGTGCGCTGGCGGGCGGGCGGGCACGGCGTGTTTGAACTTGGTCCCGGCCGAGCACGCAGCGCGGCCCCGGGTCCGCGCGGCTGATCCCGGTCTCGGTCCCGGTCCGCATTCCCGGCGCGCGCCGCCCCCTCCGCGCCGGCCTCGCGCCTCATCGCTGACGTCACGCCCGCCCCGTCCCCGCCGCCCCCGGAGCAGCCGCGGCTCCCGGTGCAGCGGGAGCGGGAACAGCCAGCCCCGTGCCCGGCCGCGGCGGCACCGGGAGCAGCAGCGCTGGGCCGCGGCCGATGCCCGGCGGGCGGGGGCAGCCGCGGCTGCTCCGGGAGAAGCGCCGGGGCGGAGGGCGAGGGAGCAATCGTGCCGGGAGCGGCGGGCGAACAGCGCGAAACTTGTGCCAGCCCCGCCTGCTCCAGCAGTCCGTCCGCTCCGCGGTCCCGGTCCAAGGAAGGGCTGAAGCTGAGTGGCCGCTCCTTTGTAAGGGGTGACAGTAGTGGTGGCCGGGAGGGGGTGTCGACAGCGTTTAACTGACATCCCAGAAATACAGGAGCGCAGGGGAAGTACAGCAGAGGCCGGTGCCAGGGGATCACCAGTGCTACGCTGCACTAACTTTTCTCAGTTCTTCGATTCCTGGTCACAGGAGGCACAGTTTTTTCCATCTGAGTCTGACATTGCCACTGCAGCTTTGAAGTTAAGATGAGGCTTTAGAAAGGGCTTCTCTGCCGGTGTAACAGATCAGGCCAAGAGAGTTTTCAGTTCCATTCCTCCCAAAGGCAGTGGGAAGGACAAGTCCTAAGCCTAATTGGGAATTGATAAGGTGGGCCATAAGAAGAATTGCAAACTGTAAGAGCTGTGAGTTTAAGATAAGATGATAGTTTAAAAGGCTGCACAAGGTATTTCCTTCCCTCAAGGGGAGTAGGAGGACATCAAGTGCTCAGATGCTGCAGCTGCTTCCAGGTGGCAGACCTGTAGGTGCAGCAGCCCCGCAACAAGCTGGTAGGTTGCTGGGCTAATGACGGTGCTTCCTGATAATCTTCAGCCCACACAGAACTGGTGCTTCAGCCAACACAGAACTCGTATATGAACACATGGTCGGGCAGTCGAATTTCAGCTTGTGTGAGACGCCAGTAAAGCAGTAATGCTACTGGCAGCACACATAATGCCAGAGCATGTCATGAGTCCTGCGTGCACGGGTTTGAAATGCAGCAGCAGTGCCTTGGACAGGCTGTAGCTTTACATACAAATGAATAAGGCCCATGTCTTCCTCCCAGCTAGAGAAATGGAATGCCTGTTAAAGATATGGTTGGCACAGGAGACCCAAACCCTCTTTGACTTTCTGATGTTAGTTTTAAATATATTACTTACTGCATTATCAGTTGCCTGCTGACTTGTGGTGCGTCACAGAAGTCTTGGTGGCCACTTTAGCTTGTTTTGCGTTGTCACACACGTGGAAGTTTGCAGTGCTTGAGCCAAATGCCAGCTTATCAGCTGGAACCACAAACTGTAGACAACAGATCTTCCCACAATCACATCCTTAGATGTTCACAGAACTGCAATGCAAATGTCCTCCGTCACTGGTTTGTACAAGTGTAGGCAGCAGCAGGCCACTGTATGTGGCCAGTGGGTACTCAAAAATTATTCTTTCTCTTTGCCATGGTCATGATCTTCAAGACATGGAGGAAGAGGAGCATTGGCAGGACAGCTAAATTCCCTGTTTGTTGCTCTGCTCTGAAGTAGAAGCACTGCTGCGGTGTCAAGGAGCATGGAGAAATAGGGTGACGGTGCCTGCTGATTTGGACTTGAGCTGTCACTGTGGCTGACAACGTTTGGCCATCGTGAGCTAGCTGTTGTGTGTCCTCTGTGTGCAGCTTATGCAGGCGAGATGCTGCTTTATTGGGACAGCTGCTGTAATCTCTAGCTGAAATGAGGAGAGGTTGTTGTAATCTGAATAAGCACTGGGGTGGTTTGCCCTGAAGCACATTGTGGCACCAACAATAGTCTGGACAGGTTGTCTGTTTTCTCTCCTAAAAAGGAGTATAAGGCACAGCTTGCAGATATGTTGGGTCACCTTGAGAATCAGCGAATTACTAAGTCATACTGTAGGAAGAAGTGCATTTCCTGTTTTTCTGGTCTTTTAAAAACTAGTGGATTTGATGCTAATTGGCTACTGTAGTTACTGTTATGTGTTCTTTCTACTGCAGGACTAGAAAGCAACTTTACAACAATTCTGAAACACA